CCCGGCGCCCCCTCCCCACTGGAACCGCTGATCCCCGCCCCCGGACTGGGGGCGCTCCTCCCCTCCCGGACTACCTCACCTCCACCCCACCCCTCAGGTCTCTGTTGACAGCTTCGGGGCTCAGGGCGTGCAATCTGGGGTGCCCAACTCCTCTCAGTTCAGGGATTACGAGGCACACAGCTTGGCCATCGTGGGGTGCACAGCCTCCGCGTACCTCTGGGTCTTCAGGATGTCCCGCCCAGGGGCTGGGAGCGCCGTCGTGCATGTGAGTCCCCCAACACTTCGCAGGCACCATCCAAGCCTTACCCTCTGACCCTCCTGAAGTGAATCCACCAAACTGCTGTCTATAATCAGAGCGACCCCATAGGCCAAAGTAAGGCACACTCCCTGGGGGTCCTGAGGCTGTGAATCTTTAGGGAGCAGACCACCCCATCGTTCTGCCTCTAAATTGCAGTTGGCTGATTTGAACGGCTGACCTTGTTAGCCGTCTAACGCCTAGCCTACAAATCTGTGCTGAGCCACCAGAGTCCAGTCTTGGGGTGACCTTCTTTATACAGGGCAACCTAAAACCTAGTCCCCTTAAAACACCCATCTTCCCAGATGCTCACCCCACAGACATGCCACCAGCCTGGTTTAGGTACCTGCTACTCCCCTATTAGCCCCAGAGAAAGTCCTTCTGGCTCTCCATGGCCCCTGGTCTCAAGGTTGTACTCTCTGGTTCCTCAGTCCCCCAGGCTCAGGACAGCCTGTGGGTGGGGGTGGGCTTTGCACAGCAGGTGCCTTCCCCTTTTAGCTGCAAAAGAGATCACCTCTCTCCCTCCCTCCTTCAACTCTTTTCCCAAGGCTGAAACTTCATGTCACAGCCTGGCCCCTTGCTAAGTTCTCTTCCCCTGAGTAGGCTTTACTTGCCCTTGGATCATTCATCCCCTACTCTCTCCTCTGCTCTGAGAAGACAGCAGGAGTTAAGTGCTGGTTGGACCAGGGCAACCTTTGGGCAAACAGGGACTTAGGTGCAAAGGCCCTGGGGCTACAAATGGTGTGCCATGTGAGCAAGGGAGTGAAGGGGGCTGCCAGGGCCTGGGGCTGCTGGGAGGCCATTTAGCGGTTCCCAGCGGGAGGATGACAATGAGCTTTCGGCTTTACAAAAAGACGGCCGCTGATTGTTTAGGGACAAGGCTTCCTGTGGGGCCAGAAGAGAAGGCTGGCACAAGCCAGGCCGGTGATACTGGCAGTGCTGGACCAGACTGGCCTCAGACGGGTCCGCGATAGATTTCTGGTTATAAGCCCAGCTTCAGGGTTTGAGTAAGCCGTGTTCTCAGAGCCCAGCGGAGGCGCCAAGGCCTGGAGCCGCTAACCTGCGTGAGCGCGGAGGCGGGGTGCTGACGTCAGAGCCGCGACCGAGGCTGCGCGGGCTGCGGCTGACGTCAGCGGAGCTCCGGCCCGCCCGCGCACGCGCCCCTGCGTCAGCGTTGCGCGTGGGCGACCGGCGGCCGGGCCACGGGGTGCGGGTTCCCGGGCTCGTGGCGCCACCTTTCGGCCAGGACGCGCGCGGTCCCTAGGGCTCCTGCACCTGCATGCACCTCGCCACTCGCAGATCTAGCTATCATATCCCTGCTGTTCCTCCAGCCTTGACCTTTGTTACAACGAAAAGAAACCAGCAATGATCGCGGACGCTTGTTTAATATCCAACTTACCACTGGGATAACTTTAGAAGAGGGAATGAAATGCATCCTGGAGATTCGTAACTTTCAGATTCCTCTGCCCGACCTTGTCTGCGTTGCGGAGGATAGGGCCAGAACGGGGTTTTGCATAGCAATTTACCCTAAAACAGTCTTTCCCGACCTAGAGAATTACGTAACTGAATGGGCAAAGTGGCGGGCAGGGTGCCGTGGGGTAGGTTGAATTCCTAAACTCATTAAAAAAAACAAAAAAACCTCCCGTCCTGGGAGCTTGACTCATAGCGACCCTATAGGACTGGAGAGAGCTGCCCCTGTGGGGTTCCGAGTCTCTCAGTGCCTTCCAGAGCAGAAAGTCTCATCTTTCTCAGGAGGCTCAGCTAGTGGGTTTTAACCTATGCCCGACGTTAGCAGCCCAACGTGTAACCCACCAGAGCTCATTACCAGAATATTATTTAACCTAAAGGTGGCTTTAGAAAATCAGCTTTCTCAAGACTCAAAACGCCATCTAAAGGAAACAGCTTGAGTGGGTCACCCCAACTCCACGAACCCCCAAATCTGGATTCCACAAAAATTAAGTCTCATATTCAAAGGGCATCTCAAACATAATGAACTAAATTACGGCTCGGGCATCCTCGCAGGGTTTTCAATGTCCCTCCTCAAAAGAGCTGTCTGTCTGCTGCTGACCCATCCTCTGGAGTGCTAGCGCGAGCCCCTAGAGCTACAGAACCAGCTGGGAAACTACACCCCCAGCAAGCCTTGCGCCATGCGGGGGAGAGAAAGAGAACGTCGCCCGCAGCCTCATGGGAGTCGTAGTTCGCGCCTGCGCTGTGGCGCGTACTGGCTTTCCCAGACTTCCTTGCGAGCCGTCCTTCTCGCCCTCCAGGCCGCCCGCGCTCGGCTCGAGTTCGCTCGCCGCCCGCTGTCCGCGCCTCGTTTCCCGCTGCCGCCATGCTGTCCGCCGCGCTGCTCCGCCGCCCTGGCCTGGGCCGCCTCATGCGCCTGGCCCGCACCTACGCCGAGGCCGCCGCCGCTCCGGCCCCTGCCGCGGGTCCCGGGCAGATGTCCTTCACCTTCGCGTCGCCCACCCAGGTTCGGACGCCACTCGGCTCGCACTCCGGCTCCTGGTGCTCTTCGTCCACGGACCCGTCCCCTCCCCTCCCCGGACCCCTGGCCGCCCGCGGCCCCGTTCGTTGACCTGAGGACCCCCACTTCCTAGGGCTGGACTCCGGCCCCCTCCCAGCCCTGTGCCTGATCCGTGCGCGGCCAGAATCTGACTCCTGCTGCTCCTCTGCGGGCGCTGCGTCGTAGCGCCACCTCTCTGGCCCGCAGCCCGAGACCTCCGATCCCCCAAAACCAACGCTTCTCTCCCCTTGCCCTTCAGACACTCTGGGTGGAGGGCTATGGTTCTTGTCTCATTCTCGATGATCATACAAATGGGCACAGTGGTGGGGTCTCTATCCCAGGAATCAGTGCCTGCTCGACCCTGGCACGGCTCCTGAAGGTGGCCAAATGCTGACCTGGCAGTGACCGCTCCTGCACTCCCCATCCCCAGGTGTTCTTCAACGGCGCCAACGTCCGCCAGGTGGACGTGCCCACACTGACGGGATCCTTTGGCATCCTGGCATCCCACGTGCCCACACTGCAGGTCCTGCGGCCCGGCCTGGTGGTCGTCCATGCAGAGGACGGGACCTCCACCAAGTACTTTGGTGAGGCGTGGGGCGGGCACCTTAGCCTTCATTCTCATTGAGATGTGCAGGCTGGCACCCGGGGCACCATGGGCTCAGAGGGGCACACAGAACCCTGTACTCCTGGTTCACAGGTGGCAGTGTGAGCTGACAGATATGGGAAGAGAGGTACTGCGAGGGCTGAGAGCAGGGAGCAACCCCATCCTCTCCGTGCCTTGGGGAGGGAGAAGGATTCAGGCTCGGAGTCAATTGGTGGGCCCATAGGAGAAGCCCGGGACAGCTTGGCCCAGTTCTAGAAGAGTGGGTGGGGCCCTGGGTTAGGATGTGGATCTTCTGCTGTCGCTCATCGTGGGCCCTTGGGGTTGCCCTTCTCACTACTCCCCCCAGTGAGCAGCGGCTCGATCACAGTGAATGCAGACTCCTCTGTGCAGCTGTTGGCTGAGGAGGCTGTGACTCTGGACATGCTGGACCTGGGGGTGAGTGCCAGGCTGGGGGAGGGGCAGGGGCTCCGTTTCCTACCTACCCTTCACTCACACCCCTGTCCCGGCCCCTGCAGGCGGCCAAGGCCAACCTGGAGAAGGCGCAGTCGGAGTTGTCAGGAGCTGGGGACGAGGCCCGGCGGGCTGAGATCCAGATCAGGATCGAGGCTAGTGAGGCCCTGGTGAAGGCCCTCGAGTAGCCGTGTGCGCCTACAGGGCAGGTGGGTAGAGAGCCGAGGCTGGGGCAGCAACGCTCAGGAGCCAGCGCAGTACAGCCTGACAGCCGCCCTCCACTGGCTGCCCATCACAGGCAGCCGTGGAGACAGTACCCCTGGACAAGCACCGATCCCTCTGAACCCCGATTAAAAACCAGGAACTGTACTCTGCTGTTGTATCACTCCTGCTGAGGTGGGGACCAGGAAGGGGTCCCAATGTCTCCTAATGAAGTGCAGAGACCAGCTGGGGGCCACCAGGCAGGGTCAAGGACCATACAAGGCTTGGATGGGCCAGAGGGGGCGGGCAGTGGGTGTGGCATTGATGCCTGGGGCCGTCCAAGGCCCAGCCCTGGGAAGGGGCTGGACTCACTTGCTCCTATGCAGACCTGCCCTGGGCATACCCACAGTAGGTGCCCCCCCCTCCCTTAACACACACAGGGAGTCCAAGTCCCTGAGGCCTCAGCCACCCTGATGCTATAAATAAAACCAAGGACATTCAAGGACCCAGGGACCACTGGACCAGCTAGCTTCACTGGGCTCAGGCCCTGCTGGGAGGTGGCCAGGGCTCTGTACCCCAGCCCACTCTTGGGCCAGCAGGGCCCACAGAACAGCCTGTGCACAGGCTACAGGGCCTGTCCCTGAGGGCAGTGAGGCTGTAGCAAATCCAGGCACACCTGAAGCCTCTCAATTGCAAATCTTCCCCAAGTGGCCCCAGAGTGCTCCTTTCTGTGATGTCCTGGTAGCCTGCCTACTGAGCTCCCACCCCTCTGGCAGGTCCAGGCAGACCCCTCAGACACTGCATTCCCTTCAGGACCTAGTGAGCCTCACACCAGCCCTTCTCCCAGCTCTTGCCTTCAAACTCCACCTGTGACCCCATCTGCATTCCCTTTTGGTCCTAAGAAACCCCAGACCTGCCCTTCTCTCTCAGAGCTGGTCTAAATCATTCATCCCCCATGATCTGGTCCAAGGACTTTACCTGGGACCAGCCTGGCCTTGGGGCTGGGAGTGTCTGGGTGTGTCTGGCTCAGTTGGGGGCGTGTTGGGTTGAAGTTGGAAGGAGACTGGGAACTGGCTGGCACCCAGGGCCAGGGTGGGAGCAGAGGTGGCCACACCAGATAAAGCAGCCCTGGTGGCATAGTGGGTTCCGAGCTGAACTGCTGACCCCTAGGTGAGTGGTTTGAACTCACCAGCTGTTGCTCAGGAGAAAGATGGAACTTGGCTCCCATGCAGACCCCCAAGGGACAGTTTTACCTAGTCATGGTGGTGTGCTTATACATTGGACTATGATCCTCAAGCTCAGCAGTTCGAAACCACTAGTTGCTCTGAGGGGGAAAGATGAGGCTTTCTACTCCCATTAAAAGTTACTAGGAATTAACCCTAGACAGTGAGATAGGGTCACTATGAGATGAAATTGACTGAGTGGCAGTAAGTATGGTTTGTGAATTTTTACCACAGTGGGCATGAACTGGCTGGAGAAGCCAAGACAGAGGCCCTACACATATTCCAGCCTGGACCTAGGATTCCCTGTGGGTAAAATTAGCCCCTAGAGTACAGTAACTATGTCTCTGGGCGTAGGTGAGGGTGCTGGAGACAGACAGGCTGAGGCCCCCTCTCCAAGGTCACAGCACAGGTAGGTCATGACCGGACACTGGGAGGGCCAGGGTGGATGAACGTCCACTGAGGTCACCCGTGAAGGATCTGCAGGGCACCCATACTCCTCCAGGTGACTACTGCCTATTTTCCTGGAGGGCATCCGCTGACTCAGGCCCCCTGGAGCCCCGCCCCACTAGGAAGCACCGGGTGGGGCAGGGAACCCCTCTGTCAAGGAGGAAATGGGGAGGAGAGGGTGGCGGACATCACGACCAGTCTAGAGCAGGGCTCAACGCTGGGTTAGACGTGCCCTGACACTTGTGGGAGAGGGGCAGGGTGGCTGGTGGCCTAGCACCCCAGGCTCTGGTCTGCGGGCAGGGGCGGGGGCTGGCCTGCGTCACTGCCTGGTCTGGCCCCCGCCCCCTGCCCGCCCAAACTCCACCCCGGGGGAAGGCGGGAGGCGACTCGGATAAAAGCTGGGGGCCCCCTGCTGGGCCACAGACCAGCCCAGCTACCAATCACTCTGCCCCGGACTTGGGGACACTCAGTACCGTGACCACTAGACCTGCTGTGCCCGGTGAGTGGGGGACGCGACCCTGTGGACATGGAGGGGGGGGGGGGTGTTCCAGCTGGAGACTCAAAAAGGAACCCTCTTCTTTGTTCTGGGGTCAGGCAGGGTTAGGGGCGCTTCAAGTCGGGGACGACCATTTCGCTCCCCCCACCACCACCACCACACTTGTGAAGGGGAGGGGCTCTGAGCAACCCGGGGCTGCTTCCACTTGACCTCAAGTCCTGTCCCCCAGCCTCTTCTCATCCCCTTCAGTGACCTTGAGCTGGTGGCTCGTTTCCCAACTGCGCCGCCGCCTGCTTGGCCTCCAACCCTAGCGGGGTTCCCCGAACCCCATCTGTGGACCTACCCTCACGTGCCCACACTGACGGGATCCTTTGGCATCCTGGCATCCCACGTGCCCACACTGCAGGTCCTGCGGCCCGGCCTGGTGGTCGTCCATGTCGAGGACGGGACCTCCACCAAGTACTTTGTGAGCAGCAGCTCCATCACAGTGAATGCAGACTCCTCTGTGCAGCTGTTGGCTGAGGAGGCTGTGACTCTGGACATGCTGGACCTGGGGGTGAGTGCCAGGCTGGGGGAGGGGCAGGGGCTCCGTTTCCTACCTACCCTTCACTCACACCCCTGTCCCGGCCCCTGCAGGCGGCCAAGGCCAACCTGGAGAAGGCGCAGTCGGAGTTGTCAGGAGCTGGGGACGAGGCCCGGCGGGCTGAGATCCAGATCAGGATCGAGGCTAGTGAGGCCCTGGTGAAGGCCCTCGAGTAGCCGTGTGCGCCTACAGGGCAGGTGGGTAGAGAGCCGAGGCTGGGGCAGCAACGCTCAGGAGCCAGCGCAGTACAGCCTGACAGCCGCCCTCCACTGGCTGCCCATCACAGGCAGCCGTGGAGACAGTACCCCTGGACAAGCACCGATCCCTCTGAACCCCGATTAAAAACCAGGAACTGTACTCTGCTGTTGTATCACTCCTGCTGAGGTGGGGACCAGGAAGGGGTCCCAATGTCTCCTAATGAAGTGCAGAGACCAGCTGGGGGCCACCAGGCAGGGTCAAGGACCATACAAGGCTTGGATGGGCCAGAGGGGGCGGGCAGTGGGTGTGGCATTGATGCCTGGGGCCGTCCAAGGCCCAGCCCTGGGAAGGGGCTGGACTCACTTGCTCCTATGCAGACCTGCCCTGGGCATACCCACAGTAGGTGCCCCCCCCTCCCTTAACACACACAGGGAGTCCAAGTCCCTGAGGCCTCAGCCACCCTGATGCTATAAATAAAACCAAGGACATTCAAGGACCCAGGGACCACTGGACCAGCTAGCTTCACTGGGCTCAGGCCCTGCTGGGAGGTGGCCAGGGCTCTGTACCCCAGCCCACTCTTGGGCCAGCAGGGCCCACAGAACAGCCTGTGCACAGGCTACAGGGCCTGTCCCTGAGGGCAGTGAGGCTGTAGCAAATCCAGGCACACCTGAAGCCTCTCAATTGCAAATCTTCCCCAAGTGGCCCCAGAGTGCTCCTTTCTGTGATGTCCTGGTAGCCTGCCTACTGAGCTCCCACCCCTCTGGCAGGTCCAGGCAGACCCCTCAGACACTGCATTCCCTTCAGGACCTAGTGAGCCTCACACCAGCCCTTCTCCCAGCTCTTGCCTTCAAACTCCACCTGTGACCCCATCTGCATTCCCTTTTGGTCCTAAGAAACCCCAGACCTGCCCTTCTCTCTCAGAGCTGGTCTAAATCATTCATCCCCCATGATCTGGTCCAAGGACTTTACCTGGGACCAGCCTGGCCTTGGGGCTGGGAGTGTCTGGGTGTGTCTGGCTCAGTTGGGGGCGTGTTGGGTTGAAGTTGGAAGGAGACTGGGAACTGGCTGGCACCCAGGGCCAGGGTGGGAGCAGAGGTGGCCACACCAGATAAAGCAGCCCTGGTGGCATAGTGGGTTCCGAGCTGAACTGCTGACCCCTAGGTGAGTGGTTTGAACTCACCAGCTGTTGCTCAGGAGAAAGATGGAACTTGGCTCCCATGCAGACCCCCAAGGGACAGTTTTACCTAGTCATGGTGGTGTGCTTATAC